GGACCTCAGGTCTGGACACACTGACTTAATTTAAAACTCAAGTCTTCAAATATAGAAAATATCTTCCAACAACAGATTACTCTCACAAAAAGGCTTGTCTTTATAACTTATCATTAAAATGAAAACATAGTTTAAAGATGCTCATGGAAGCAACAGGCCCCAGGCTGAGAAGCAATCACACATCCCAAGGGTGAGAGACTCTCCCACTGGCCCTTGGTGCAGAGAACTCTACGCAGGCTGCCGGAGGTGGGTGGGGGTGCCAGGCTGCACTCAGTGAACTTTCCAGACACAGACGGGAAGGTTTGGAGACTGGGGGCTGAGGAGGAGCCAGTTAGTCTTGGGATCTGGCTTGGGATGTGGAGCCCGGCAGATGGGTGCTGAGGGACAGGGATGAGAGCACAGGAGTGGCCAGATGGGAGATGGATTTAGTAATTCGTTGAACATAAAATGCCAGCTTACCTGTATTTATTTAGTCATTCAACAAGCATTTAAAGAACGTGGATTAAGTATACGAACTGTTCAGTGGAAAAGAGCAAAACAGATCTAAGTGCTGTCTGTATACGGAAGGCAGGCCGGCACGTGGGACGGGCTACCTGGGCCTGGCTGTCCTGCTACGGACCACCTGTGTGCCCCACGCAGGAATCTAAACGTGGCCCACCTCCCCTCGGGGTCAAGCAGGACTGGCCCCTAAGAATGTCCACGGGGGCGGGGGGCCTAAGAATCCCCCAGGCCCCAAACAGGCCTCTGTGAAGGAAGCACGCGACAGGGCGTGTTGACAACAGGCAGCCACCACCCCTCCCCGAGCACCCTGCGGCCGGGACCCGCGCCCAGCAAACCGGCAAACGCGAGCGCGCGACTCGGGCAAGGGACCCCGCAGTCCTGGGCGCGCTCCCGAGAACGGAGCACGGGCGGCCGTCAGCGCCGCGCTCTCGGAGGGGAACGTGGCGCCCCACCTCCGGGAGGGGCAGCGGGACCCGCGAACCGGGCCGGTCCGAGGGGCAGCGGCGCTGGCCGCCCAGCCCCAGCCTCCGTCCTCCCGCCCTGGCCTCAGGGCACCGTCCCGGCTGCGCCTCTTCTCTTGGTGGGGCAGGACGGCGCCCTGCGGCCCACCTGGAGAAGGGCCCGCCCGGGAAGGGCCCACCTGGGGAAGCGCCCACCTGGTGAAGGGCCCACCTGGGGAAGGGCCCGCCCGGGAAGCGCCCACCTGGGGAGGGGCCCACCTGGGGAAGCGCCCACCTGGAGAAGGGCGTGGGGCCCGCGCCCTTCAGCTGCAGCTCCCAGCGCTCGCCGGCCGCCGTGCACACCTCGCCCAGGTACATGGCGGCGCCGTCGCCCAACTGCCCGGCGAACTGGCCGAACTGGTGGCCGCAGTAGCAGTGCGCGGCCGGCTCGGCGCCCGGCAGCAGCGCGTTGCCGCTGAAGAAGAGCGCGGCCTCCGCCTCGGCCTCGGCCTCGGCCTCGCGGGCGGCGGGCGGCGCGCCCAGGCCCAGCAGCGCCAGCGCGGGCCCCGACAGCGCGACGAGGCGCGGCTGCCGCAGCGGGGCGGGCCGCACGCGGCTGAAGCAGGCCCCGGGCACGGGCCGCGGCGCGGACGGGGCGCCCTCGGGGCCCGGCGGCGGCACCTCCACGGGCAGCTCGCGCAGGGCGCGGTTGTCGAAGCGCAGTCCCGCCAGCCAGCGCGGAGCGGGCTCCATGGCGGCGCCGCGGCAGGGCGCGCGCGGCGGGCGGTGGCGGCCGAAGGTCAGCGACCTGGCGCGGGCGGCCGCGAGCGAAGCCCCGAGCCCAGCCCTGCGCGCGGCCATCGGCAGCGCCGCTCCGGCGGAAGCCCATGCGCCGCGCCCCGCCCCGCGCGCCCGCCGCCCAATCGCCAGCGGGCAGAGGACCCCGCCGCGCCTGCGCGGGCCGCGCCCCCAGGGGCCTGTCTCTGATTGGCTGCCGCGTCCGCCCGTCCGGCGGGCCGGCCTCTGGCGCACGCGCGGTGGGAGGCTGAGCCTGCGTGCGTCCTGTGCTGGGGCTGCGCGTTCTCCGCGCCCGGCGCGGGGTCCCCGGGAACGCAGCAGAGAGCTGGACGGGCCAGAGGGGCTTGGGGTGACCGCTGGAGGGACATCCCAGAATGACTTCGTAACGGGCTAGCAGGCTCCTGGAGGTCCGACCCGGTTCACTCGTGACGGTGCTCACTGCTCCAAGTGCGGTGACATGAGTGATGTGCCCCCAAAGGCCACCGGCCGAGCTCCCCAGCTCAGGGCGGAGCCAGGGCCAGCCCCAGCCCCCGCCCCCGCCGTGCTGAGGGTCCGCCCTGCATTGCTTGGCTGGCCGTGCACCGGGAAGGAGGGACAGAGCCGGCTCAGGGTCAGCGGCTGCGCTGCATACAGTGACCCACGGCTGACAGTGTTCCTGGGACCACTAGGCACCGAATAGGGGCTGGCCACCTGAGACTATGCATGGGGACAGTTCTGCACCAGGAAGAGCTCCAGGGTGAGGCCAAAGCAGAGCGTGGAGGAGGCTCTGCCCGGTGCCCTCCTGGGGGTGAGGCCCGCCCGGAGCTGAGTGAGCATGCGCACCGGGTCCCATGCCCCTGCGGGCGCCTTCGCATCAGTGCCTCCTGCCACCCTGGGGTTTCCCTCGCCCTGCACTTCTCTCTGAAATGATCCCATTTCCTTACGTCCCTGTCTTGTGTCTCTCTCACCTGCAGTCTAGGAGGGCAGGAACTTGATTGGGGCTCCAATTCCCCCAGCGCCCAGTGCTCAGAGACACCCCAGGAGGGCTAGGGTGGGGTGAACACAGGAGTTTGGGGTGGATGTGACCGAGTGAACGAGCTCAGCCCGCCCTGAGCTGACCCCCTTCCAGTCTCCTCCCCGCCTTGGTCCTGAAGTAAAACCCGAGACCCTGAGCTGGGCCCAGGGATCCTGGACACACACCAGCTCCCTCCTGGCTGGGTTACCCTTTTTTTCACTACGGTAGAGACAGCCTTTATTGGTGCAAACGTGAAGTGTTAAGAGGAGGATGGGACAGCTCCCACTCCCACTCCCACTCCCGGGCCGCAGACTCTGCCGCCGCCCTCCCTGGGCCACTCTTTATTCCGGCAATCCCTCGATTCTACACTTCACAGAGCCACGTCTGGAACTTTCTCCTGGGGCCACGGCGGGACCGCCAAGGCCCTGTGTGAACCCAGCTCTGCCCCTGCGGGGCGGTGACCTCGGTAAATCCCTTGCGCAGAGGGGAGAGCGTGGTGAGGTCCCTATCGTGGCGACTAGGGAATAGCGGGTGCTCGGCCCGCAGCCTGCCCTTTCAGTAACCCCCCGAGGCCCATCCTCCCTGGGGTCTTCCCCACCTGGCCTGCTGGTGGACCCGCCTGCCTTGGTTTCCAGCGTCTTGCTCTGTAACTGCCATGCGAGACCGGGGCAGAGCCTGGCGTTACCTGTTCCTCTTTCCCAGGCCCTGGGCCCTCCTGACCCATTTCTTCGCCCCCCAGATCAATCTTGTCCACACTCTGGAATCCACTGGGACTGGGTTCTTGAGGGTCCGTGAGTATCGGTGGTCAGGGTCCCAGCAGGTCAGTGTGGACGAGCAGAGGTTCTCCTCAACCCTGTGACGGGGCTTCTGGCCTCACCACTGAGCTCCTGCATGGCTTCCTCCAAGAAGCCCTCCAGGGTGCCTGCTCCTAGCCAGGAAACAAGTGGCTGGGCTGAGTGGAAGCTGACCAGCCCCTTCCCCATCCTGACACAGAAGGAGGCAGCAGCAGACAGCAGGGTGTGAACATTTAATGAGCAAGGCTTCCCCCACCCGATGCCAGCTGGTGCCTAGGCCCCGTAGCTCTGCGTGGTGTGAATGCGCAGCATGGTGGCACGCAGTGCCTGTCACTGCCCACGGCCCAGCGCAGGCCGGATGGGGCTCCTGCATGCCCTGGCCACGGCCCATTGAGGTCGGCCTGGCCGCAGTTGCTGTACCACCAGCGAGTGCTTGAGCGATCGCGGCTGCAGCTAGTGGAGATGCGGGCGCCGTCCACGCAGCGTGTGCAGCCATCACGGTCGGGTCAAGTGTGCTGAAGGCACTGCCCTCCTGGTTGTCGCTGTGGCCGGAGCCCCGGAACGCATCCCCTGCACGGTGTGGGTGCTGGGCTCAGCGATGCCTCGGCACCTGGGACCCCCGGGCAGGCACCTGGGGAGCAACAGCCTTTCCCGGGGTGGAGGCTGGGGAAGTTGGGAGTCTCTGGGGTCCCAACCTCCCCTCCCCGTCCTGGCCTCTTTTAAGCACCCCCCTCCCAGCCTGCTAGAGCATCTCAGGAACGGAGAGCCCCCGCCCTCCCAACACTCACCAGCATTCCCTGAGCACAGACCCAGGGTCAGCCGGTAGAACTGGTCTTCGTTGTGGACGTGGAAGTTGTCGTAGGGGCTCAGAGCGTGAGGTTGCCCAATCCTGCAAGTCCACACTCAGTTCGGTCCGCAGGCCCGGCTGGGAGGTCAGGTCCGAGATGTGCCGCAGCCCCAGCCAGTGGTCACCTGCAGGAGCGGGCACCGGGCTCGGGCCTGCACCCTCCCCACCCCGGCCTGTTCCTGCTTGATGTATTCTAGGGCCCCTGCTGCCGCCCGCGCCGCCGCCCCGTGTTCCTGGAGGGGATCGCGCTACAGCCCGGTGCCCCGTGGGCAGCACAGCCTCCTACCTCCCAGGCTCCGAAGCCCTGCTTGCACTCCTGCCAGCACCTCTCAAAGTCCACGGGCTTCTCCCTGCCCAGTCTCGACTCTGAATCGCCGTCCAGCCACCGTCCTTGTGCATGTCGCACAGAACCTGGCGCGGACAGAGGCCTCGCTGCCCTGGCCCGTCCACACGGTCTGCCCTCTTTCTCCCTTCGGAGAGGACGGTCCCGCTCCCCCAAGCACGTTTCATTTGAAAAGTGCTGCCTTACGGTTTTTCTGCTTATCAGTGTACTACGAGCACGCGCAGTAAAAGACATACAAACTTTCAGAAATGGGTCAAGACCACAGTGTCACCCAGGTGACGTCTGTCATTTCTTTCTGCTTTGTGCTGCTCTGTTCCCTTCTTGTCCTGGGCCCCTCTCCTGCCAGTCGTCAGGGTCCTTTCTGGTCTGTAAACACTGCGGTGCTGCGAGTTCTTTGCTCATTCCCACAGGGGTGCACATTGAGGTCTCCGGCCCCTCCAGATTATGAACAGCGCTCAGCAAACGCTCCCGTGCCCAGGTGCGTCGGGAGGAAGCCAGGGGGCCACCGGCGGAGCCGGGCTTTTCTCACCAACCACACACATTAGGACCTCGTTTTTGCCAAACCGATGAGCACAAAACATCTCATTGGTCACTGGGGCCCCCACACTGTCGGCGGTGCCCCTGGATGGGCTGCTCACCTGGAAGGGGGCGCTGGCCCCCTCTGGCTGGCTGGTGCACATGCCACTGCGGGCCGTGGGGTCGTCCCCCCAGACCTGAGAGCAGTCCCCCCCGCCAGGGGTGCAGAGCCAGGTGGGATTGTCCCCCCAGACCTGAGAGCAGTCCCCCCCGCCAGGGGTGCAGAGCCAGGTGGGATTGTCCCCCCAGACCTGAGAGCAGTCCCTCCC